TTGCATTTCAAGACTTCAATACCAAACAGGTAGAACTGAATCTGGCCATTAGCATCACACAACTCTTCCGATTTTGCTGAACAACTTCTTGGGAATCCCAGTGTATACAATGTGCTCACATATACATATATCCTGAAAGATGTACTGTTGACAAAACAGACAATAGTTTAAAATTATGTCCATCCCTTCTGAATGGCTCAGCTTTCACTCAGTTTGTAATATGGGCATTTTCCTTGTTCTTTAGTCAAGATACTTAAAGTTAGAGAAATATAACCATGATGAAAGATCTGCAGCTCCCAGAGGGACAGAATGGGGGCTGGGATTAATGCAAGGCAGAATGAAGGCTGCATTGGTGCATGAACTATTTCTATAATTAAAGCTGCTGAAATTTCTTTTAAGTTTAAACTTCCTTGTGAATTCTTAAACCTGTAATTTTTTATTTTAGCAATCATTACAATATTCATTCTTTATATTTAGGGACCTACCGAAATCATGATTTCACAGATTTTGTGAAATCCAGCATTGCCCGCAAGTCAGCAATGCCTGTGAAATCCACGGAAAAAAAAAAATTTTTTTATGGAAAAATAAAATGTCATCTCCCCAGGGAGAGCCAACAGCTCTCAGGGTGCTGCAGTAGCCCACCAGGACATGGACTACCTGTTCAAAGGGCTGCCAACAAGATGGCTGCCTCCCCTGCCCCCTGCCTGATCTGTTGCAAGGTTTGCCCGTCATGTGGCCCCACCCCCACCCCTCCACCAATCTGCAGCAAGCAGCAGGGGTACATGATGGACAGACCTCATAGCCAGAAAGCAGCAAGGAGCAGGGCTACTGGGGCCTCTTAAGCGGAGGCCGAGGGGGGCACGGTCTGTCCATGAAATAGCTGCCAGGCCTTGCATTCTGCCTGCAAAAATCAGGGGGCAGCATCCTCAAATTTGGTAGGTCCCTATTTATATTACAGATATTTACTCAGCCTAGCTTCATTTTTGAAAACTTGCCCAGGCATTTTCTTTGCTTTTCCACAAGATATTGGAAGTTCTATATCAAAATACATGCATGTTATTTCTAAGCTAAGGCACTGGAACTGGCAGAAGGGAGGGCAAGTGACAGAGTGCAAAGGGCATGTGGGGGGAAGGGAGAGGTTCAGGCTGTTCAGCTCCCCCACTGCCTTCCCCCGCCCCCACTGTTTGCCCCACTGCAGCAGTAGGGGTGGGGGAAACAACTTTAAGTAATTAGATGCTATACACAGAATGCTGACAAATTTTCTATATAAAGAATCTAATGTTGGGAGGTCATCTTTAATTCAGATGTATCTTGGATTTGGGCAAATACAGTAATTGAACCCTCAAGTGATAACTGATGTTTTCAATGTAGTTCCTATATCTTCTATTCAGGTAATTTAAATAGCATTTTTAAATAATATAAATAGGAATTAAACAGGCAGGCTTTCAGGCTACAAAAAAGCCAACCCCTCTAATAACTATTGGAGAAAGGAAGCAGCTATTGCTCAATCTTCTTTAAAATGCTGATCTATGAAAGTTGGAAACAAGACTATGCAGCAAAGGATAAGAGCAGCTGAAAGAAAGAGATATGCAGAGACAGATGGGAGATGTGCCACAGAGGCATTTAGCCAAAAATCTCAAAGGGTGATTTTGAGGTATGGAGCATAGTAAACTAGAGATGCCATTATATCAAGGCATAGCATTTGAAAGGTTCTCCACGACTTCTCTGCAAGTCCATGTAGCAGCCCCCTGCTTACATTTTTCTGGTGCACCTACTATGATCACTTTTGCCATGAAGCTTTCCACCTGTCAAACAAATAAAGACACACATTCCTAGTACCCTCCACCCCACTAAGTCACCACATGAAGCCAACCAGAAGGCAGAAATGGACACACGTGAAAAAGAAATCAGAGTGGTGGATGGTTTATTTTTGTCCCTGCCCACCAGATGGTCCAACAAATATGCATAGTTCACCTAGTACAAGCCTTGTCCCAATCAAACACATTAGGATTCCTCACTGACAGCACAGGAACAGAATGACATGTAGCCACAAAATCAAATCACAAAAGCAGAGGGCATCAAGAGGCCACAGACCCTTAAATTCGCTATTTTCATTGTATTCTATTTTTAAAGTCAAGTCTTCATTATAAATTTTTTTGCTTATACGTTAATGTAAGCCCGAACTTGAGAAAGGTCATTAGCAAACATTCAAAACTGGACACAAATGAAGGAGTAAGTATGATGTATTGACTAAGACCACTAAAATGTTTAGCTATACTGCACAATTCCAGAAGAATGGTCAGAAAACAGTTAACCTTCAAATCTGGAAGTTCAGTCAGCAATAGTTATGTCTAATACTATGCTGCTTACGGAAGTATTATTTTTTTTTAAATGTTTTTAAAAATCACTGTTCTTTCATTTTTCTCTTCCAAAGAGATATCTTAATCAAAAGTTAATCACCACTTGAATAAGCAGCAAGTCTAGAGATCTTTTATTTACACCGTGCAAACAACTGGTCTTACTATATCACATAGTAAGTGTTCTTCAGAGCTGGACTAGGGAAAATGCACAAACAAAGCTATTAAATATTAAGTACTGGGATCTGCTACAGTAGTGCAAGACACAGACGAAATAACAACAATATAAATAAGCCTCCGAAGCATTCAACTTCACAACCACTCCAACAGATGCGGAAACTCTACAAATTCCTTATTTTAGAGACTTCCTTAAACTAACTTATACACAAGCCTTGTTTATTTAAAGCTTCATAATATTAAAAGTTAAATTTATTTTTACTGTTGAATTCCACCTTCAAAGTTAAGGGTGTTTAGAGATTTTCTGTGTAAGAAGCCAGTCAACTGGAATTATAGTTGTATTTTCATTGACATACCCTCTTTGCAAAACATCACTGAAAACAGCAAAACTTAAGTAGAACTGTAGATAGCTTAATTGAGTAAGTGCCACTTGTTTCAGCATTTAGTTTTAATGTACTATGAAAGACAAAACATCATAGGATAGATTCCTATAATGTTACTTATTATGGTATTGTATTTTATCCAGAATATATGATTTAAGAAATAAGTGAGAGCCAAGATGAATAAAGGCAAGTTTAAATAAAACATTTTAAAGTCTCATAATGGTTAATTATTCAATTTGTAAACACAAGATCTATTACTTCAGAGAAGTGTTTTTAAAATCCTCTTTAAAAAGTTATTGCATTTGTTAACAGACTAAGATCATTTCACCAGCCAGTGGCTTTAGTATGCAAAATGGTGTCAAACACTGAACCAGAGAAAAAAAGTGATCAGTCTTTACCCTGTCATTTGATTCACTGTAGGTGCATCCTTAATATTATCAAATACTGGACTAGGGTCTCTAGTCCATAAATAGCAGCTCTGACAGGTGATAGAGCACCCAAATCCACTGCAAGCCATGCTAAGCATCTCAGCTGAACTCACTGTGCATCTTATTAAGTGCACTCATACTAGTTGACCAGGACTAGCTAGCCCACTAAGTAGTACTGTTATGTGTGATTAAATTAAATGTCCATTCAAGCAGTAAGAATATTAAGCTTATACACAGCACCTTAAAACAGCTGCAAATGCAAGCAGTTTATTAGTTTGCCATACCAATATTAGGGACTACCCAATATTAAAAGCTCTAGATTTCTTTTCAGTTGTACAATCTAGATTCACTCTGTGTTATGAATGGGCCTCATTAAATAAATCTATGCAAAACATAGGAGACAATAGTAAAGAAAGAGAAAAACTAAAATCGGGAATCTGATGGAACAATAGATAGCTTGTCCAATGTAGATTCAGCATGGAGCTGAAATGTTTTATCCGTTCAGAAGTTAGCAATGCCATCAGCCAGGCATAGAAATACTACCGAAGGGTGCCTATACACGTACAGTGAGGCTGCTGCAACATGCTGTAATTGTAGCTGTAATTAATTGAGTCTGCTGGAGTGTTGTAACTACCACATTCCAGCATCATGTGCATCAGCATCCCTGCGCTGAAAAAGTGGTGGCAAGGACACCTTAACTAAAGCTTGTTCAATGAGCCGCTGTTTTTCAGCATGGGGACACTGATACACGTGCTCTAAAGCTTCTGGAGTGTCACCTCTCAGAGCCACGCTAATTAAAGTTCTCCCTCTCCCACCTAGCACATTTACAAACACCTTTAGTTTTCAATACCTTCACCATTCATTTATCCATTCCTGTTAGAGGATTCTTCAGATTCCTAGATGATCTATTAAACTCCCACATCTGAAGCATAGATCCAGACCCCTGAACAGAGTATTTGTCATTTAAACACTTAAAAATTTCTGATTTTTCTGACCCTTCCCTCAGAACCTAGCTTTGTAAACACCTGTGCACCGAAACAGCCTTACTCATGCAAACAAACCTGTTTACTCAACAAAGCCCTTAGGGACTTTGTCTTTAAATTATCCAAAGTTAATCCACTAATATTCTATCAGATCGGTTTAGCTTTATTTCCCAAAGTTTCCAATCAAAGCCAAGGCCAGCTCCTCCATGCAAGCTGTCTGGCCACCTAAGTCTCAGAAACCTGTAATGCATTTTAACCCTTCCAGCATCAGCAGGCTGTGAAAGGGAAGTGGTCTGGAAATGACGCCAGAGGCAAGGGTGGCTTGGGCTGGACCAACTAGGGAGTCGGGATGGAGTCAGACACGCTGCAAGACCTCCTTCCCCGGGAGGTGCTCCAGCTTGACCCCAGCTGGTATGAGCCACGGCCCTGAGAAGTCCTCACCTCTCAGAGCCCAACTCATGACTACAGGATTTGCCAGCACCTACCCCGAGCAAGCCCTTCGACGGTTTTTTTTTTTTTTAAAAAAGGACCAAAAAGGAGGCGACAAAGTTCCTTCTCCTCCCCCAGCCCAACCGCCTCCAACTGCTCCTCGGCGGCCACTTCCAGCCGGGCAGGGACTCGCAGCTCCACCCGCCAGAGCCCAGAGCACGACCCCGGCCGCGCCGCACTCACAGGATGCCGGAGCAGGAGGTGCAGACGAAGCTGCCCACGGTCATGTCGGTGTAGGTGGGGCCGCGCTGGTCACAGTCGAAGCACTTGCGGTTGGGCGG